ATATTTCTTCCAAATTACGCTATATCCATCAACTTGCCACCTAAACCAAAATATGAGAATATTAAGTACATTTAGGCATAAAATAGTCATATGAGCGTAGTAAATAAAGATGCAAAATGTGTATTTTATATTCCTATCACATAGTAACTTTTTTTTGATACTCAAGACAATTGCAATGTTTATTAACTGGCAGAGGCTGGAATCAAAGTACTCTTCCAATCCATCCAGATTCAACTACTTGTACAGCTTCTTACAAGCTGAAGTTGAAATAAAAACTGCCAAATTATCATCAAGCTGTACCAATGCACTTCTTTGGTTGACGAGGTATTACTTACTCTTACGTGTTTTTTCTCTTATCGCTTCTATTCTATTCTCTGGTTTTGGGCAAGAATGCTACTGAATTCTGAAGAAGTAGAACTTCTATTAAACATATCGCAAGAGCTATTGTATATGAAGTTGCATAATATGTATTATTGGAGTATTTTGCACAATGTCTGTTGTTAATGAACTGAAAAAAAAAAAATCAATTTTCCATTTTGATAACTAGTGATGATCCTAAAATTTAAGATAGTATATATGGTTTTTTTTAAAAAAATCACTGCTATGCATCTTCTGAAACCGCATGCTTCAAAGTTCAGACCATTTACTGCGCAGTGGAGTATAAGCTTGTGAAGATAACATTAATATTAAATGTATTGCAGAGCAATGAATTTTCTAGTTGAGCTGTTTCAAAATCTATCTCAACATCAAGATTAGTCAATGTGACATGCTGTAACGATGCATACAGCAAGACCTTGAAAAAATGGCATGACTGGTTGCAAGTTCCAGTTTCTCTGTAATCATAGATATTATGCATACTTGATTCCATCCAAATCAATTAGACCATTACTTTTAGTATTAATCATTTATGCATGCATTTTAGACCTATAAAGCTCGATTTCTACAGGAGTGTGTATTTCATTTCTGTACACTTTTGGGTGCAGGCCATTGTTGGATTGGACAATATGAAAGCTTCATGATGGAATGGATCTATTCATAAGTTCAGACCATGTTTGTTCATTTTGTCGCATCATTTCAAACTTTCTTTCCCTTTTTTGTCCATCTTTTTTTTTAACCCTTTTCAACTTCCGCATTTTAGGGAATTCAAGATTTAAAATTCTTGTAGTTTTTATGTTAATTTCATCTGGGATTTTATTAGACTTGAAACTTTTTTCTTCGAAACCATCTTTGCTTTTTCTTCACATATATTTGTTGTATTCCATCCTCGTGCTAATTATCTCTGTCTTCCCACAGTACACCTCTTCCATCTCATGCAAAAGGTTTCCATGGGATCTGAAATCCTACCTTGGTCCTGTTGACTGTTGTAATTTGGCGGTAACACATCGTGGGATTCGAAGTGATAGGAAACACTTTGTTGTTCTCACAAACAACATCAATATGTAGATGGTCGAAGTCTAAGCTTTTTCGTCAAGGAATTCACTACCATTGGGAGTATATATAACACATTAATATACCACACCCAGAGGCATTTTGTTTGTTGATTTTCTTCTAATACTTGGTCATGAAAATAATCATCTAATAAAACCACTCCATCACATTACTTGAACTGTTGAAAAACACCAGTGTCAAGAAAAGAGAAATATCGACATATCTGCTTGATTTTGACAGTCATAAAATAACGATGCACTAGGAGTACACATAATAGCAAAAAATAACTAGCTGCACAATTGCTTCAAACATACAAGATCACATTGCTGTATACTGTTCTGCTGTTATCAGAAAAACTGATCACCTAATATCTTATACAGTAATAGAAGCTGTTGAACTCAAGTGTTGGGCTATTTTGGGAGAATAGCAATCTCCTTGCTGCATGACTTGGGGCGAATTTGGCTTAGCTGTAAGCTTGTTTTCGAGAGGACTAAATGGGAGATGAATCGTACACTGAATTGGCTTTAATGGACGTAGACAAGCAAGATGGCCATGTAAATGATTGTTGCAAATGGGGAGATCTCCTGTTCGAGTTGTTGCCTCCTTTTCTTTAGGTAACGGAGCCAGAGGGACCCTATTTAAACACAAATTCACTTGTTGTCATGCACAAAGTACTAATCAAAGTAAGGATGATGTAAAAACAATGATGATAATATCAAGAAATCCTAGGAGGGCATTGTCATAAATGTATGACATGAAACTATAATTACTGTTCAAGGCATTCCTGTAGTTCACTGAGCTGTGGAAAAGATGGAGTTGGTAAAGACATACCCCAAGAAGAAGAAAAGCAAATTCTTGCTGCTCCCCACCAAGATGGATTTCTATCAGCTTCCGCAAGTCAGCAAAGGTCGAATCTTTCAAAACCTTCAATGTAGCAATGAGCTTCCCATGATTTTCTTTCAACGTCTCCCATTTCACATATACTTCCATATCACCAGTGCTTTCATCTAATGGATTGTGATTCTCCTTCAAAATCTTTGCTTTCTCAGCAGAACCCATAACTTTCCCAAGCCCCTTTTTGCCCAAGTTCTGCTTGCTTGATGCTGAAAGGTTCTTAGAAATGCTATTCTGAAGCTGGGAGAGGTCACCAAGCATTAGTTTAACAGAATGTTCTCCCTCTCTCTTTGATGGGGTCAACAAGGAGTCAATAGTTTCTAGCCTCTTTTGGGTAGGCACTGGAGTTCTGTTGTGTTGAGAAAGTTCTCTATAGTTTCCACAGAGGGTGAAGATATTTTGAATCCTTTTTTGCCTAGAAGAGGCATCAATTTGCTCTGGATATTGAATCGAACATTCAGGTGTAACTATCATCTTCTTCTCCTCGATTACTTCTTTCTGAACCTCCTCATCATCTATGAGATTCTCTTTATCTTGTTCCCCATTTTCTTCTTCATCTTCCTCGTACACAGTGCTCAAGAATGCTTTGTTGGGAAAAGTCACTACGTTTTCATTGAAATTGCTCGTATTGGGAAAACCTGAAATGGCAGCAGTTCCACGGACCTCTGATTTATGAACCACACTGGTTTCCATGTCGAATGATCTGTCTAGATCCATGGATTAACCATATCTGAATCCTCTGAACAAACCTCCAATAGCCTTTTCATAAAGCTACTTGCATCCATGTCTGCTGATGCACCATCAACCCTTAAAAGATGAAGCTCAGATTCAATTTCCTCTAAATGCTGTTTAAGTATTTCTCCTCCCGTTGCTGTTGCAACATCCTTTCTTCCATTTTCCTCCTCTCCATCTCGACAAATTCATTGGCCATCTTCTGACACTCTTGTATCTTTCTCTCCAGTTCTCTTTTCAGCATCAGAGTCTGCTCATTTACCTTCGAATTAATCTCCTCCTCAGATATCTCCTCCTTTCCTCTTCCTTCAATGAGCGCAAGTTTGGCCGTTAAAGCGGAAATTTCTTCTTCTTTCTTGTTTAACTTCTTATGAGCCTCAATACGCTCTTTTTCCTTGCGTTTGTTCTCCAACTGTAACTTGTAGATAAATTGGTCCATAGCTTCAATCCTCGATCCCAAGATAACAGCTGATGAAGAATCTTCACCACCTTTCTCCTTAATTGGCGTTTGCTGTGCCCGAACTATGCATTTTGCTTCGCACCATACTCTAATGTGGCAATAGTTTTATGCAGCTCCTTTGGGTCCGGACTGGCACACAGTATCATCAGAATTTTCGATTTATCATCCTCAAAAGAATCCTAGCCAAAATGTCAAATTGATTTCAGAAGACATTGAAAAATATGTAACCGGTAAAGACTGAAAGATGATAGCAACATAAACAAAAAGATATACCTGGAGAAGCATGGTTAGCTTGCTATCTCTAAATGGAACGTGAGAATCTCCATTTGCAATAGATTCAACAACTCGCTTCAGAGCTATGTTTCCTTGGTTAATCTTCGCTGTCTGCAAGCATAATACAATTATTAGCGATATGAATGCCACCTCTGCATTTGTCAACTAGTCTGTAAATAAATTCTGTACAAGTAACTTAACTCTATCTAATTCTCTACCTGCATTTTTACTTCGAATCCATTTTGACCGGCTTGTTCTATGTTTTCAGAACCTGCCATGTCGACAAGCATAAGCCTGCCGCCAACAGTAGGAACATCAAGAATTATCTGCAAGAATGTAGTAGAAAATAAACTTGTTTGTGAAGATAGAAACTCGACAATCTACTTAATAATCATTTGAATGATCAAATGGAGTTTCGTACCATGCAGTGGCTTCGTGAACTTCTCTCATTACAGAGTGTACTTTTAACTACCCTTCGCTTCTCCACCTTTTGGATCTCTTTCAAAATCTTACCAGCCTCATTCCCAGAAATAAAAGTTGCATTTTTAGCCTTCTTTCCCATTACTTCTAGTCTTACCTGCAAAATGTAGAAATGTAATTTATAATCCGAGAAATGATTATTCGAGGTTGACATTGTGCTGTACCACAGTCCGATTGCAAGCATATTAGGATTTCCTATTCTTGATTTGATACTAAGTGTTACGCAGGAGGCTCCCAGTATGGCCATGTGGCAGCCACATAATAAGAGAACTCACGCCCGCACTCTACATCACTATTCTACTTGGCCTATCCAAGGCACTTCTATAGACGAAGTGATGCAATCCGTCGAACTCACATGTAGAGGTCGAACCTCTATGACAAGGTGAGGCGATGCGCTGTAGCACCAATTCGAGGCGAATAGCCTCGAAGTCTGTGAGGCAACTTCCTTAGAAGATCATTCGTAAGATGGATTGATATGACCTCTTTGCAGCAGCCATTCTATCAGGTTAACTTGTCATCCTACTCTTTTCATGCTAGACTAAGTCATAGGGTGGCTAATTGTTAGAAACATTAAATGCACCTGAGCCTAGTACTGATGGAATGACGCATTTGACAATGTGCAGCTCACGTTTAATATCATTTTGAAGGTAATGCAGTTTTACACTCTCAATGGTAAGATTGCTCTCTTTCGTTTTATTCTCTTATATCTGTTCTACCTTAATTGGGAATTCGAACGCTATTGTGGCTCACGTCTTCTGGACGTCCCACACCCAAATATGTTCGTACAAGTTGACTTGATGGTCGAAGTGTACAGGTCACCTGCCCCACCTACAAGAAAGCCACGTGTTCCTAATGGTTTGTCCAAGTGTGCAGGAGAAAGACTACAATTTAGAGAAGGCTGATGAATTTTACACCAGCCACTTGAGCAAAATGTTGGGCTGACTGCACGTCCGAAAACCAAAAACAGTGGTCCAATAGTATCCTAATGAAATGCTAGTACTGTTGACCTTGTCCATCTGCAGACATGATTGATACAGCAAAGAATTCTTGTTCAAATTTAAGAATGCATTTTCACCAAATGAAAATTTCCAAATTAACAAGTACTTAAAAATGTCTTATAAAAATGAAGAAACAAAAATCTAACCTTGTAAGCACTGCCTCCTTTAGCCCATCCAAAACCAAAGCCTCCCCCGGTGTCGGTCGATGACAGCAGATCATATATTTCCTCATTATATATCTCCAAAACACTAACCAGAACAAAAGTTCCACCACCTATTTTCTCTCCATCTACTCTATCCCCTTCTCCTAAAATGTCCCTCAAAGATCTGTACACAATCCCCGGCTGCGTAGCACTCCCAAACATTGTATGACTCTTTCCCGAGCCGGTCGGACCGTACACCATGATAGTACATTTGTTACCAAGTTTTACTCCATTAATCCTCGACTCCACAAACTTCTTGTAGAACCCATCAAGATCATCTTCTTCAGATAACGAAACCCCATCGAAAGTAAAATCCCTGTACCCAATTTCTGTCTTTGCCCTCAGTGATTTCCCATCTGTGTTGATTTTTATCACAGATGGGATCATAATAGGCTTGTTTTTTTGGTCCGGTTGGTTTCGGATTCTGCCAATAACTTCCACTGGATGCTCTATCGGGGGCATGGCAGCCGTGGTGGCCATTTCTTTGGTAAAATTCAGGCGGTGCTTTGAATGAGGGGTTTTCGATTGGTGGTGGTTGTTTGATTTTGACGACGGTGTTGTTGAATTCGGCTTTGAAGACAGTATAGGAGCCATTTTCAATCGATAAACAAAGTCTTATCCAGAAACTTTCCTGCTGTCTTTTCTTCTCTAGTTTAACAGAACAGGTGAATAATTAACTACAGAATAAAAACCCTGATCTTGATATTCAAATTTCTCTAAGAATTCGAGAGGAAATGAATAAATTTCAAGAAAATGATATTTGAGAGTGTGCATGTATTTCAAGAAACGAATTGAAATAGAAATTTTCTCGAGAGCTGAAAATCAAGAGTTCTGGGGACGGAAAGAAACATATTTTGATTGAAGGGTTTTTTTTTATTATTTCTTTCGAAGTTTGAAATTAAAAGTAGCCGTTACGACTTCGAACGTCTGGGCCCAGGATTTTTCGAGTTTCATCTCTCTTTTTGGGCTCTTGGATATTCCTTTGGAGGGAGGCAGCTTCACCTGGTCAAATAATCGTACAGATGTCTCCATGTCTCGTATAGATAGATTCTTGTTTTCAACAGATTGGGAGGACCATTTTTCAGTTATCCATCAAAAGCGTCTCACTAGACTCTTGTCTGATCAGTATCCTATCATGTTGGAATGTGGAGACTTTTCTAGAGGCAAGAGACCCTTTCGTTTTGAAAATATGTGGTTGAAATCGGAGGGTTTTGTGGATCAGGTGAAAGGATGGTGGGAGTCTTATAACTTTGAAGGCACGCCTAGCTTCGTTCTGGCTAGGAAACTGATGGCCCTTAAGCTAGATTTGAAAAAATGGAATGTGGAGGTTTTTGGTAATGTTCAGAATAGGAGGTTGCAAGCTCAATCTGAACTCAATGCACTGGATGAGGAGGCGGAGCTAAGGCCTCTATCTAGCGAAGAGAAAGATCAGAAAATTAGGCTTGTGGAGGAGTTGGAAAGATCTCTTCTGCAAGAGGAGATCAGCTGGCGCCAGAAATCTCGAGCCATTTGGTTACAAGAAGGTGACAAAAATACTAAGTTTTTTCATCGCATTGCTAATTCCCATCGCAGGCATAACTCCATCTCTTCTCTGATGATTAATGGAGTGCTATCCTCTGATCAAGATGCAATTTCGACGGGTATTACTCGATTTTATCAAAATTTATACCATGAAGGGGAATTTAGGAGACCGATGCTTGATGGTCTTGAATTTTCTGTGATCTCAACTGAGGATTTGGATTGGCTGGGGAGACCTTTCGAGGAAGAGGAAGTGCTGGGAGTTATTCAAGGGTTTAATGGAGACAAAGCTCCAGGACCGGATGGATTCTCTATGGCTTTCTTTCAAGTCTGTTGGGCTGTTGTACAACCAGATATCATGGCTGCTCCGAGGGCTTTTCAGGTGTCTGGATCATTTGAAAAAAGTCTCAACGCCACATTCCTAGCTCTTATTCCTAAAAAGGTGGGTGCGGTTGAGGTGAAGGATTTCCGTCCTATCAGTCTGGTGAGCGGATTTTACAAGATCTTGGCAAAAATTTTGGCAAACAGGATGAGGTTGGTGCTGCCAAAGATAATCTCATCATCTCAGAACGCTTTTGTTCATGGGAGACAGATTTTGGACTCGGTTCTTATAGCTAGTGAATGCTTGGATAGTAGACTAAAGAAGGGGGAGCCTGGTGTCTTGTGCAAACTTGATGTGGAAAAGGCCTATGATCATGTTAATTGGGAGTTCCTCCTTTATTTGCTTCGGAGATGCGGATTTTCGCAGTTATGGATTTCGTGGATTCGTTATTGCATTTATACAGTTCGATTTTCCATCCTAATCAATGGTAGCCCGAGTGGTTTTTTCACGAGTTCGAGGGGCTTAAGGCAAGGGGATCCGTTATCTCCCTTACTTTTTGTTATTGTTATGGAGGCTCTTAGTCGAATTATGGATCGGGCTATCAGTGGAGGTCTCTTTTTGGGTTTCATGGTGGGTTCCCCCCATGATCACCAAGTTGAGGTATCTCATTTACTTTTTGCGGATGATACTTTGATTTTCTGTGATGCTGACCCGATTAAATTGGAGCATTTGCGTTCTGTTTTTTTGTGGTTTGAGGCGGTCTCTGGGCTGAAGATTAACTTGGGCAAGTCTGAGATGGTTCCTGTGGGCGAGGTTCCTAATCTGGAGGCCTTAGCTCATATTTTGGGTTGTCAAACTGCGTCTCTTCCAATGAAATATTTGGGGATGCCTTTGGGTGCTTCCTTTAAGGCCAAATCGATATGGAATCTGATTATTGAGCGTATGGAGAAGCGCCTAGCAGGCTGGAAACGTCTTTATTTATCTAAAGGGGGGAAGGTGACGCTAATTAAGAGCACTCTCTCTAGTTTGCCCACTTATTTTTTATCGCTATTCCCTATTCCGGTCGGGGTGGCACATCGCATAGAGAGGATCCAGAGGCACTTTCTTTGGTCTGGCATGGGGGACGAGACAAAATGTCACTTAGTTTCATGGTCTCAAGTTTGTGAGCCTATTCAAAATGGAGGGTTGGGGGTAAAGGATCTGCAACGTTTCAATATGGCTCTTTTATGCAAATGGTTGTGGCGATTTGGTATGGAGAGGGATGCTTTTTGGCGTCAAGTGGTGGCTGCCAAATATGGCAGTAATTGGGGGGGTTGGTGTACCAAGGAAGTGAGGGATTCTCATGGGGTGAGTTTATGGAAATCAATTCACCAAGGCTGGCCTTCGTTCTCTAAACAATTGTTTTATTTGGTGGGGGATGGAACTCGGGTGAAATTTTGGTATGATAGGTGGTGTGGTGATGTGCCATTGAAGGAGGCTTATCCGGAGCTCTTTTCTATCGCCCTGGACAGAAATGCGTCCGTAGCAGCTCTCATGTCTCACACTAACGGTATGCTTCTTTGGGATGTGCTCTTCACTCGGGGTGTGCAAGATTGGGAGTTGGAGTCCATATCTTCCTTCATGGAGCTCCTTTATGCTATTCCGATGCAAGGTAGATGGGAGGATTCGATTAGTTGGGGTTCTCCAGTTTCTAAAGCTTTTACCGTTAAGGGTTGCTATAGATACTTGAGCCCCCCATCTGCTAGAACTTTCCCTTGGAAGTGTGTATGGAAATCCAAGGTCCCTCATGGCGTGGCTTTTTTCTCTTGGACCGCAACACTGGGGAAGATCTTGACTATGGATAACCTTCGTAAGCGTGGCCTTATCTTGGTTGATTGGTGCTGTTTGTGTAAGGAGAGTGGGGAGACTTCTGATCATGTTCTTCTACACTGCAAGATTGCTCGGGAATTGTGGGATATGGTGTTTGCTTTGTTTGGGGTCCACTGGGTCATGCCGAGAACAATTTTTGATCTTCTTTCATGTTGGAAGGGGTCTAGCGGTAGTAGTAGGACTTCCTTGATGTGGAGGGTTATTCCACACTGTCTTTTTTGGTGCGTTTGGAGGGAACGAAACACTCGAACTTTTGAGAATACTGAGATCTCCATTCCGGAGTTGAAGAGTAGTTTCTTGTATTTATTGCTTGAGTGGGTTAAGGGATTGGGTTTTCTTTCCACCAGCTCTCTTGGAGACTTGTTGGATCATTGTACTCCTTGATTCCTTTGTCCTTTTGTATACTTCTAGTATACTGGGACCTTTTCAATGAAAATTTCTTTACTTATAAAAAAAAAATTTTTTTTTCTCCATCCTTTTTTAGGGGGAAACATCTCTCGAGAGAAACATCAATTCCTGAATGTATTCCTTTTCGTTAAAGAAACTCGTAAAGTAATTATGTGGCAGGCTATGTTGATGTCTGTTAAGCGAAATGACATGCAAGCACTAATGCTCTGCTAGCATTGTCTTCTCCATGAGGTTCATCTGAGGCAATGAGGACATAGTTCCATCGCCTCATTCGTCCCTTCTTTTTGAGGCGTTAGGTGCATAACCCAATTCATAAGTAAGCCCTACCGAGGTGATGTAACCCACAACAACTTTGTGACATCGTTACTCCAAGATCAACCATACCAAATGGACCTCTTGAGTCTGAGCCGGTTGAGTTCAAACTCCGATGCCTTGAGCAAATTGTAATCTCTAACACCTTGACCAGTATTTGAAATGATCGGTGTTACGTTTTTGAAAAGACAGTTTGTAGCCATATGACTACTAATTCGCAAAAGATGGGGTATTGATATCACAGGCCTATGACAGCTAATATGTGACATCTAGGGGTGGGCGTGGATTGGGTTGGGTTGGTTTTTGCCCCAACCCAAACCCAACATTGTCGGTTTGTTCGAAATCCAACCCAACCCATATAAATGTTGAAACCCAACCCAACCCAATTATGTGTCGGTCGGGTTGGGTAGGGTTGGTCGGTTTGAATCATAAATTCCAATTTTTTTTGACATATGTTGGAATTAGAAAGACTAAATATGAGTGCTTAGTTTGATCATTTTTTTTCCCCCAATTTCACTCACACAACTGTTTCAATTTTTACTCAATTCAAAACCGACATAATAGTGGTTGAGTGCCCCTTAAAACCTAATCTTAAGTCCTAACATTAATTAAAATTGCAAAATTGGTCCCTAAACTGCTAACAAATGATAAAAAGTTTCTAAAATATAACAACCAATGATAAGATGGACACGAAGATAATAGAAAATGACATAATGTTAAGAAAAAATCATGCTCATGAACTTGGAGGATTTTCAAGAGGAAAAAATATCTTAAACGTGTAGCATTTGAAATGTCTAGTAAATGACAAAAGATGGAACTCTATGCAAAACCAGTAAAATTAGATAATGATTTTTATTTTTNGTCGGTTTTTTGCCCACCCCTAGTGACATCATTGAACTTTACATGTGAATCGTTGGAATAATGTCAAGAATAAAGCATCTAAGGGGTTTGGGTCGGTTTCATTGGGTCGGTCGGTTTTTTGCCCACCCCTAGTGACATCATTGAACTTTACATGTGAATCGTTGGAATAATGTCAAGAATAAAGCATCTAAGGGGTTTGGGTCGGTTTCATTGGGTCGGTCGGTTTTTTGCCCACCCCTAGTGACATCATTGAACTTTACATGTGAATCGTTGGAATAATGTCAAGAATAAAGCATCCAAGGGG